GATTGGTCAGTGTCCAAGACATAGGGCTGTTAGATAGATTTTTTAATATTTATTTATTTATTTTTGGCTGCGTTATTTTTGGCTGCGCACTTCGTTGCAGTGCGCGGGCTTTCTCTAGTTGCGGCGAGTGGGGGCTACTCATCGATGCGGTGCACGGGCTTCTTAGTGTGGTGGCTTCTCTTGTTGCGGAGCACGGGCTCTAGGCACGTGGGCTTCAGTAGTTGCGGCATGCGGGCTCAGTAGTTGTGGCGCACAGGCTTAGTTGCTCCGCAGCATGTGAGATCTTCCTGGACCAGGGCTCGAACCCATGTCCCCTGACCTGGCAGGCAGATTCTTAACCACTGTGCCACCAGGGAAGTCCCTGTTAAATAGTTTTAATATCAACCCTACCCACATCATAGGGTTGCTGTAAGGTTAATTAATAGCACATGCTAGGCATTTGATAAATGAGATCAGGGACTATATTTAATGCTCCAGTATGTGGCCTGATATAGGGTGACCCCAGCACAAGCCCACCAAGACCCCCAAGAAATCTTTAAGTTAGGCACTCGAAGCCCCTGGGGTGCATTCCAACCCATAAATATTGATCTTTATCAAACCCCAGTCCCCCCACCCCAAATAGAGCATATATTCCCATAAAGCAACTGAGAAGCCCCAGTTGGACCCAGGAACTATCCCATTTACTCTCCTCCCTCTTTTGAATAAAGAGGGATCTTCCTTTTTCGAACAAGGCTTTGGACTCCAGTATTTGGGTCCAGAGTCAAAATTCTCTCCAGGGCTTCCCTGGTGGCGCAGTGGTTGAGAGTCCGCCTGCCGATGCAGGGGACATGGGTTCGTGCCCCGGTCCGGCAAGATCCCACATGCCGCGGAGCGGCTGGGCCCGTGAGCCATGGCCGCTGAGCCTGCGCATCCAGAGCCTGTGCTCCGCAACAGGAGAGGCCACAACAGTGAGAGGCCTGCGTACCGAAAAAAAAAAAATCTCTCCAAATCAGAATTCTCGCTGGATTTCATGCCCACTGCTCATCCCACTCCAGATCCTGGCACTTGTCCCCCGTTCACAAAGAAGTGGCTGTAAGCCATCAAAGCCACAGACAGTTCACCAGTGTGACTTGTTCACTGATGTGTCTCTAGGACCCAGCACAGTGCCTTGCACAGTGTAACATGCAACAAGTGTTTGTTGAATAAATGAATGAATGAATGAGTGATTCATTCTGGGTCTGTAGTTGGTGCTTCACGAAGACTTTTTTCCTCCCCTCCCTCAGAGCGCATTGTGGCTTTGCCAACCTCCTGGACTCCAACAGTGCTTACCATCTGTGCCCGTCCTTTGGCAACTAGCCAAACTCAACTCAGTTCAATTCAACCAACTTCCATGGAGCTGCACTATTGGCAGGAAGCATTCACAGTCTCAAGGAATGGTGAAAGCATTTCCTAGCCCATGGCGCCTCAATTGTACTTTTAAAACAACCTTGGCATGGAACAGAACCTTTTCCAAGACTTTTTGAAAGTCTAAATACATGATTATAAATTACTTCCCTTTGTCAACACACTTGATTACCGTTCAGGAAATAAGTGAGTTCTGGACAACAGATCAACAGATGATTGTGGGGCAGGTATGGGACAGGTGTAGAGGGGCTGGAAGTCTGGGGAGGAATGAGACTCAGTCCTTGTCTGATGGATTCGGACTTTCATTAAGTGTGGGGAGGAAAAGGAGGTTGGCATCTCAGCCATTCAGGGCTGGGATTGAAGGGATGTCCAGCAGCTCCTTGAGTGAAAAGAAAGCCAGAGTCTCCCACACACACACCTGTTGTTTTTTTCTGAGGGTTGGGCCTTTTTAAATTTTATGACTAGTCTCCATTCCTGTTTCCACCCCCTTCTATACATCTCTTGCTTCCTATGCCAGTCTTCTGTAAATTTCTAATTTGCTTTCTCTCTGGTAATTATTTATTTTAATGGAGTTAGAATTGGCCTTGTATGTGTTCATTAAAACATTATCTTTAAGAGCGAGAACCTGGAAATTAATCAGAAATCTTACAATAAGAGCTAATTTAAATACATAATAGCAGATCCATAGTCTGGAATACTGTATAGGTAGTAAAATGATGTTGTAAATAATAGTAATTGACACGGGGAAAAATTACCAGTCTCTTGTTAAGTGAAAAAATAGGCTACAAAACAATGATGTATAGTGCCTCTGTGTGTGTGTGTGTGTGTGTGTGTGTCCATGTGCGCTATTGTTGACTTTTCTTATTGGTGTTTTTCTGTGTTTTCCAAACTTTCTGCGCTGAATGCTGCAGTCTGAATTGGGGCACTATCAAGAGGGGTGCATTGTAGGGACTCTGAGAGCACAAATAAGGGGAATCAAGCAAGACTTCCTTTTGTGAGTGTATTTTGGGGAAGGTGAAAGGCACAGAGTATTGGAGAGGAACTCGAGGAATATGCTGTTTTTCAAGTGCCAAGGAAGAAGGTGGTGTCTACTGGTGGTGAGGACTTCAGGTCCATCAAAGAAGACTGGGCTCCATTAAAGAAGCAGTGGGGAGCAACTCTGGGTCTCTGAACACAGGGGTGAGTGGATGGAAGTGGTGTTGGCAGAGGATTATTCCAGCCATAGCAAGGTGGACTGGGTTGTAGGCAGGGTGATCTGCCAGGAGACTCTCAGTTTGCATATTTGACCTGAGGTAACGAGAGCTTGGATTAAGTTTGTGGCAATAAAACCAGAAAGGAAGGAGCGGATGGATTTGAGAGATGTTACCAAGAAAGAGTCAGAGCTAGAGATTCAAATTTGGCTAAATATATGCCAGGTGGTAAGTGAACGCATGTAAGGAGACACTTTCCAAGGAAATGGACGTTAAGAGAGAATAGCTGAGGATCGAGTCTTGGGGAATTCCAACAGTTAATGGGAGGAGGAAAGAAGAGGGGCCGGCAAAGGAGACAGAGTGATGCGTCAGAGAGATAAGAGGAGAAACTTGAGAACTCAATGCCATGAGAGCCAAGGGCAGGACAGGAAGGAGTGGGTGGTTGATGGTATCAAATTCATCCTTGAGGTCAAAGATGCAAACTGAGCAGAGGCCCTTAAATTTGGCCGGGAGGCCGCTGGTGAACTTACTTACAGAGAGTGGTTTGGGCAGAAAGCGCTGGACTCTAGAAGGTTCCAGGGAAGGGAGTGGTGGGGAAATGGAGGCAGCCCATGTGACAAGAGTCATGTGTTATGACAGAGAACAAGGTCAAACTTTATTATTCTAGACCTGCTGCTCAACCATTTGAATCTACTGGCTCATAAGGCTGTTAAAAGTACAATACACGTTTAAATGATTGTTTTTATGCTACAGTGAAGGGACTTCTTCCTCCCACTGCCCCAAACCAAAAAGAAAAAAAAACCCTAGAGATTCTGGGCATGTTTTAACAGATCAGAGCAGTCTTTTAGCTTAACAGTCCTGTCTCTAGGTTGGTACTGCTTTGAGAATTTCCTAGCTGTGTCCTCTGTCGTTAGTTATGCCAACTCACTTGAACAATTCTTCCCTGAGCCCCTCTGAGGCGAGGACATTGAGGCAAGGTGATTAGGAGGGAGCCAGTGGTCAGGGGCACGTGGAATGTCTCTAAGATGTATGTAGAGGCTGTTAAGCAAGGCTCCGTTTGAGACCCTGGATATAGTTTGGTGCCAACCTCACTCCAACACACAGAAGGCTACAGCCCGGAGTGGACAGTGGGCTGAAGGGTGACTGAAGCAGAGGCATCAGAAAACCTTCTTTTTTTAACCCATGGCCCCTGAAGATTGAATGGTCCCTGGACCGAATGGTCTTGAACAGGCACCTTGGTTTGCAAGGGATACATAAAGGCATATAGCTTTGTTTCATTCCTTCTATTACTTGGCAATCATACACAACCCGACCCGACCAGCACTACTTCATTTTTTTTCCTACTTGCTGTCTAGAAATCAATCCTTTGAGCACTTTCCCTTTGTGAATCCCAGTCTGTTTCCAGTTTGACATACTATGGATTTATTTGTCTTAGTGACTTGTTTTCCCCTAAAGGAAGATACCCTCTGAGAAAAAAAATGGCTGCCTCATGAGCCAGCAGAGCCTAGACCTGTTCCCAAGCCCCAGAGAGGCACAGAACTGAGTATCTGGCTAATTGCATGTGGAGGTAAGCATATTCTCTAGAACTGGCACTTTTCAGATCCCGAGACGTCTAGGGAGTGTAGCCAAAGGGCCTTTTAAATGTCCCTGCTCCTTTTAATGGAAGAACTTGGTTGCATTTCTGGGAAGATGGCTTGCCGCCCACGGGAAACAGGGTCATATCATGGATGGTACACTCACACGCTAAGATGTGGAGGCCCCTCTAAAAATGTGATAGGAAATCAGAGCAGGGGTACTTCCCAGGAGGCTGGTATAATATCAGAAACCTTTTTTGGAAGCCCCGGGCGTCCTGCTCCACTTCAGTCACCAAATTTGTCCTGAGCATCTTCTGAATAAGATGCTCACCTCGGTCCAGGGGAAGCCGTGAGGGCTGGAAAGATAGGCCAGGGTTCTTGTTCCTGGGAGTAATCACCCGTCCTGAGATGTGGACCCGCGGTCTCGGCTGCCGTTTCGTGAGTGCTGATGGAACCCCGGTGCAGGACCCGCCTCGTGGGGGCCAGATGCTGTATCTGGGCCAAAGCTGGGCCTGCAGGGCAGGTGGCCAGAACGTGGAAGGAATTCTCTTCCGCAGCCCGGGGTCTACGCTTGGCCCCAGCGAGCCGCCCTGCCAGCCTCTGCCGCCCGGGGCCCCGCGCATTCCGCGCGCCCCCGCCCCCTCCGCCCCTCTCCCGGCCTCGCCCCCTCCCTCGTCCCCTTCTCCTCCCCCCACCAGCTGTCCCCTTTCCCCGGGGCGGCGAGACAGCCGGAGCCTGGGAAGAGGCGGCTTCGGGCCGAGGGGGCGTGGTGGGGAAGGGGAGGAGGCGCCGGGGTGAGGGGATAAGGAGGCCCGGGCGGCGGGGTCCCCCAGCCACTGCGTCGCCCGCCCGGGAGCCGGGTGCAGCCGCCGCCGCTCGCCCGCATCCCCTCGGCCCGGCCCGGGGGCAAGGTCAGCAGCGATCTGGAGCCGCCGTGTCACTCCCCGACAGCTATGAACTGCAGCGAGAGCCAGCGGCTGCGGACCCTGCTGAGCCGCCTGCTGCTCGAGCTGCACCACCGGGGCAACGCCAGCGGCCTGGGCGCCGGCCCCGGCCCAAGCATGGGCATGGGGGTCGTGCCCGACCCCTTCGTGAGCCGCGAGGTGACCAGCGCCAAGGGCAACGACGCCTATCTCTACATCCTGCTCATCATGATCTTTTACGCCTGCCTGGCCGGAGGCCTCATCCTGGCCTACACCCGCTCCCGCAAGCTCGTCGAGGCCAAGGACGAGCCGTCCCAGGCTTGCGCCCAGCACGAGTGGCTCCCGGGAGGTGCCCCGGCCGCCGCCGACGCTGAGACAGCCGCCGGATCGCCCGCCGAGGACCGCCGCCAGCCCGGCCCCGCCGGGCTGCCCGCCCCGGCCCTCGCCCGGGCCGCCGAGGGGGTCTAGAGCCGCCGCCCCAGCTCGCTGGCTCGCCCGCGCCCTCAGCTCGCTCATCCTGGGCGCGGCACCCGCCTGCCTTGCCGCCTTTTCCTCTCCTCCCCTTCCAGGGCCCTCCTCACCTGAGGCCCGGACAACGTTGAGAGGCCAGGAGACCTTGTCTGGAAGGCCCTGGAAGAAGCACCACCCTACCCGCTCCGGGCCAGCCTCTCCCTCCTCTCCCCCCCCCACCCCCCACCTCCGACCCCGCACAACCCACTGCACTAAACTGCCTCTGCTCTCTTGTCTCCAGACGGCCCTGACAGCACGCTCCAGCCCTCTGGGAACTGAATCCAACACGTCCAACACTTGGCATTGAATTGAAGCAATGAAGTCTATCCGAACTCTGGGCCGTCTAACTGGCAGCTGTTCCGGGGGCTGCCAGGGACTGGTCACTCTGTAGAGCCAACGGGCTTGCCATCACTGCCAGGCCGGCTGGGGCAGCTCCAGCTTCCTGTTGCCTTAGGGACAGAGACAAAGAAAATGAAGAGAACTCAGACATCTTTTCCCTCCCTCCTCCTTCAGCAGGGAGCTAGCAGGACACTAGGACCAGTCTGTGGCATAGAATGGACTTAATGGGACTGGAGGTGGAGGGGGGCTCAGAGGGTGGGGAAGACCTATTACCCCCAACTGTATGGTTTTCTTGCATCCAGTTGTCGTCCTGAAGGTAACTTGCCTAATTTTGAGTAGCTCTGCCATCTTTTGCCATGGGTAACCATTGCTGGGCGTGTCACCCTAATACTTCCCAATGCCTCTCCTATATTGATTCAGTTGTCATGGCAGCTGTCTGCTTCATCCATGGAACATGAGGCTCAGTCGTCTTCTGCTCTGTAACCTGGAGAATGTCAGAGGCAGGTAATAAAGGTCGTTTAAACAATAACCTGAGACTCTTTTCTCAAAGATCCCAGCCTTGAGACCCAGTACTATATAGAGAAGAACCCTTTATGCTTTTGGAAATAATGTTTAGATTGGGGAGTTGGGTTGTTTTGATACCTATATCTATATATCCAGTTCCAATGCAACAGATATCACTGTGCGTGAAGAAAAGGTTTATGTATGGCTAAATGGGTTGTTTTTTCAAGTGTTTCCAAGTTATAACTACTTTCTTACTTCTCCGCTCCTTTTCCCTTAATTCTGAAGCACTTTCAAATATCACAGTGCTAAATAGGGATTTCCCACTTACCTCTTGCAGTTTTTCAGGATATACTTTAAATTAAAACAACCTCTCACACCCATCACTATTAGCTATTATCAAAGTTCATTTTTAGAAGCCACCTTCATAACTCTCCCAAAGAAGCGGCTTATTAAAAGAGAAAAAGCCACCAAAGAGTGTAAATCTTAAGTCAGAGAGGAGATGCTTGAACTAAGCTGTCTTAACCAATGATGGGTAAGTTTAGAGGTGTATGCTTATTGATTTATTCTCCTTCTTTGAAGGTCATCAGAAACTTGCCTGATTAGGGCTTAAATGCTTATACCTGATGGTGGCTGTTTGGGCCCCATCAAACACACATAGTCACCTCTTAGCGTTAAGCCAACTTGCTTCAAGACAACTGGTTTCTCAGTAACAGCAGGACAAAGATATTATGCGTTACTTAAATGCACGGATAATACACAAGCCTCATTCAAGGCATTGGTTTTGACCTTGTAGCCCATATGGTATTTTACTGGAGCTATTAATAAGTTAAATGAACTTACTTTCATTCCCAGGATTCACTCCTTGAAGATATACTGGCCTTACCCCATTGGCTCCTCTCCAGTCCTAGTTCCAGCCCTAAGGTTGACTCCTTTCCTTGCAGGTGGGGGCCAGGGATTGGGCAGTGGTCCAAGATAACGAGACGAAGAGAGATGATGCTGTGAGAGCCATCTCAGGGCCAGGCAGGGAGGCCTGAGTGGGATGCGGAGGGAGGGCACAGATACCCAGCCATGCCAGGTGCATATGGGGGAGGGCAGGCCTCAGCCTTGTATTTCAGGTACAACAAGGTCCCTCATTGGTCTGGCATGACTGGGGACACGAGGTTGTTTGATAATGAAGCATCCCCAGTGCTTTAGGTGTTGAAATTTTGTAAACATATGTAGTATTTTTCATAGACATTAAAAATATATATATTGCCAAAAAAAGGCAGCTGGGAGCAGTTGGGATAATGCCCATAATAAGCATGAATGTGCTGTGGGAAACGAATCCCACTGCCAAGATATTCCTGCTTTTAAGCACATTTTAACCTTTTTATGATGATGACGTTCCTCATTAAGCACATGTAGTGAGAGTAGCCACAGAGTTTTCCCAGTGAGAAAAGTGAGCTGGTCTGGGGAGACCGATTTGTTTAACTGCCCACTTTCCCCAAACATTTTCAGGGTTGCAACTGTGTCCCAGATAATGAAGTTTCCCAGACGTTTGGACACTCGACTCTCTACCAACCAGTGCGGGTGTCAACAGCATTGAAGTGATCACACTGTGGTGAGCAAGAGATAGAAGAAAGAAAAACAAGAGGCCTGGCCAGCCTGCAGTTTTAATAATGTGTTCCTGAATAGCGCGAGCTGACAGTACAAACTGGGATTCTAATCAATTAGAGTGAATTTTTTTCAACTCCCTCCCCCACCAGTCTATTTCTTCTGTGTAAGCAGGTCCCGTTTCAGTTCAGGTTCAGATCTTTGCTCCATAATAATAACGAGGAAGAAGACCCGCGCTTCCTTACTTGTAACTTGAGGCTTTCAACCAAGTGGGGCTAGGAGATGTTTTGAGTTCCAATGTCTGGAAGTGCTCATCGACGGTGCAAAAATAAACAGAAGCTTTTCTCCCACTACAGACACACTTCTGTGCTGTCGAGTCACTTTTCTAGAGGGATATAAATGGGGTCTTTCCTTTGTTTGTAGCTACCATCTCCTTTTCAATTTGCCATATCCTTTAGAAACCGAAGATCTGCACGTGATTTGTATTAAAGAGGAAAGGGAATGGGCTGCTTTCCAAGCAGTCTTGCCTGATGGCTAAAGCAAGTGCACTGTGGTGTCGTGGAGAGAGCATAGGATGAGAATCAGGAGAACTGGGGTCCAGCCTTGGCTTTGCTGGGAATCTGAGGATCAAGTGAGATAACATATAGGAAAGGAGAAGTACAGCAGCTATAGAAGTATAAGGTGTTAACGTTTATATTTTCCTTTTCCTTCCTTGGGGGAGTGCCCTTGGGCAGTGTGGGGAAAGTGGGGAAGAGAAAATTCTCTACTGCATAGTCTGCTCTTATTTTATAAAGAAAAGGATTGCAGTGACTTGGCCACTAGCTCCCAGATTTCTGAGCCTTTTCCCCCCATTCTCGGAATCTTGGATGACTAGGAATCTGTGCATAACTGTCTCACCATCCTACTCTACTCCCCTTTACCTGTAGGCTTGCAAGTGCCCTTTTTAAAAAAAAAGACAATACGTACTGTACTTTCAGGGCTCCACCAGAACTGATGTCTAGACACTGAAGACACGGGTCAGGGACTGAGAGAGAGCATAAGAGAAGAGAATGAAGGGAAAGAATCACAGACTGTGGGCTTCATGAGAGAGGTAGGAGGAAGGACAGTCTAGAATGTTCTGTGAAGGAGCATGAACGAGGACCCCCAAGGGTGAATAGATTAGATCGGTCAATAGCCAAGCCTAGGTGAACTTGAACCACCCATCAGAATGGCTTTGAGAGAAGAAGTTGGTTGGAAAGTCACTTCGCAGCCCCTTTTGTTACTCAACCTACACTACAGCCTATCCTGGAAGACAAACAATGTGACTAAGGCAACTCTTTTTCTCTGCTAGATCTCAGAGCATGGGACCAGGTGACCCCACCAGTCCCTCGTCAGATGTGTTTTTTTTAATTGAACGAAAGATTCTTTCAATTCTATAGTGCTTTACAATTTTCAAAAGTTTCACACACATGATTTCATATAATCCCATAATAAGCCCCTTTTTTCCCCCTCCCCTATACTGCCCCTCCCCCCTTCCCTCTCCCCACTGGTAATCACTAGTTTGTTCTCTATATCTGCCAGTCTCATCAGAGAAGTGCAAATCAAAATAACAATGAGATATCACCTCACACGTGGTAGAATGGCTATTATCAAAAAGACATGAAATAACAAGAGTTGGTGAGGATGTAAAGAAAAGGGAACCCTCTTGCACTGTTGGTGGGAATGTAAATTGATACAGCCACTATGGAGAACAGTATGGAGGTTCCTTAAAAAACTAAAAATAGAACTACCATACGACCCAGCAATCCCACTACTGGGCATATACCCTGAGAAAACCATAATTCAAAAAGAGTCATGTACCACAATGTTCACTGTGCAGCTCTATTTACAATAGCCAGGACACGGAAGCAACCTAAGTGTCCATCGACAGATGAATGGATAAAGAAGATGTGGCACAGATATACAATGCAATATTACTCAGCCATAAAAAAGAAACGAAATTGTTATTTGTAGTGAGGTGGATGGACCTAGAGTCTGTCATACAGAGTGAAATAAGTCAGAAAGAGAAAAACAAATACCATATGCGAACATATATGTATGGAATCTAAAAAAAAAATGGTTATGAAGAACCTAGGGGCAGGACAGGAATAAAGACGCAGATGTAGAGAATGGACTTGAGGACACGGGGAAGGGGAAGGGTAAGCTGGGACGAAGTGAGAGAGTGGCATAGACACATATACACTACCCAATGTAAAATAGATAGCTAGTCGGAAGCAGCCGCATAGCACAGGGAGATCAGCTCGGTGCTTTGTGACCGCCTGGAGGGGTGGGATAGGGAGGGTGGGAGGGAGGGAGACGCAAGAGGGAAGACATATGGGAACATATGTATATGTATAACTGATTCACTTTGTTATAAAGCAGAAACTAACACACCATTGTAAAGCAATTATACTCCAATAAAGATGTTAAAAAAAAAAAAAACCTTAACGATGTCCCACCTAGCCAATCATTTTTTAAAATGAATTTATTTATTTATTTTAAAAAATTGTGATAAACTACATATAACATAAAATTCACCATCTTAGCCATTTTTAAAAGTATATAGTTCAGTAGCATTAAGTACATTCATATTGTTTCTGTCACAGTGCCCTTGAAGTCAGAGAAAAATGCAAGCAGCTAAATTATATAGAAGCAGCAGGGCTTAATCATTGCTCAGATGACTCCCCCTCTAGGGTATTCGCACTTTAGAATAGACCACTCAGGGCG